CTGAATGTGTTAAGGTGGCTTCCCCTTTCTCTGTTACAACCCCCAACACGTGCTTCCTTAGAATTATTCCAATTATAAAGGAATACTTCTCGTTGTTGTTATGAGGGGAAAGTGTTAAAGCAACCATTCTGGAAATCTGCTCTGTATTCGAGACTCCTCAAGGCTCCACTAGCAGAATAACACTGCGGAGAGGCTGAGCCCTGCCCTTCCTGTCTGCCTCGTGCTGCAGACAGGTGTCTGGGTGGGACGCTGGTCACCCCTGTCAGACGGAATTTCCTGCACTGTCTTGCTCTTGTCTGTCAGCCGGGCCGCAGTCACCCCACAAGGCAGATGTGGGAGACAGCTGGTGTCTGCAGAGACAAACAAGGGGAGGAAGGATGGAGGGATCAGGCAGACATCATTCTGGGCCAAGTGACCGGGGAGGCCCCAGCCCTGGGGACTGGGAAGAGGTTTAAGTGGAGAGTTGGCGAGAAAGGAAGTCTGGGAGAAGATGCTGGCAGTTTCACCCCAGACCTGGAGGTCATACCCTGGACTCCTGTCCAGGAGGACTCTGAAGCGAGAAGCTGCCAGGGGAAGGGCAAAATGCAACCCCAGTGCAACAAGGTGTTCAGAGCAGGGGTCAGAGGCAGCTGCTGTGCAGGCGCGACTCACTGGGTTTGCATCTCATCTCTACCACTCCCTGGCTGGTGACCTTGTAAGCCTCTGCTGCATCATCTATAAAACGAGAATAAAACACCTGTGACAGGGCTACTGTGCTGATGAAATGGCACGTGGAAAAGCAGTTAGCCCTGTGCTTGGCACATAGGAAGCTCTTGATGCATAGCAGCTACTATTATTTGTTTGGAATCAGGAGAGGCTAAATTTTACACACAGCTCTGTCGCCTGGGACAAATGATTCCACCTCTCTGAGCCTCCGTTGTCTTCCCTGGTGGGTGGTTTCAGAGTCCAGATGAGATATTACACAGAGATTCCAGCCCATAGCCAAGTACATAGTATGTGCTCAAGTCACGGAATTCCTCTGATGAGGGAGGTACACGCAGCAAGTCTGCCTTATCCATGAGTTTCTGAGTGCCAGGCCGGGGGCTTATGGTTAGGGAACCTCCCCTGATATGTGTCTGGGGTCAAGAGTACAGGTGTGACCAGCAGGTGAGGGCTGGGGGTGAGAGAAAGGAATCTGGCCCCTCTCCTGCTCTGAGAGGCTGCCCGCTGTGGAAACTGGAGACAAGGCATGTTTCCGCTCAGGGGAAACACCTGTCTGGGACTTCAGGGCTAGCTGGCAAGGCTGGGAGCCTCGGTTACTCCCCACCCTGCCTGTGCTGCTGGGAAAGCTGCTTTCTTTCACCTTTGCCAAGGGGAGGGGTCCCACACCCAAGCTTCCCTGGCAGTCTGGGTTCACAGTGAAATGTCTCCAGCCGGAACTGGGAAGGTCATGCCCAGGTACTCTGAGGACAAGGTCCTACCCCCACCTGCCTTCCACTTCTCAGACTCAGCCCCGTGCAGGAGAAAGAGCCGGGCTTGGGAATCAGACAGAGCCGGGTTGCAGCTGGGGCCTCAGCTGTCACAAGCACGTGAGCTCAAGCAAGTCCTGTGAGCACTCTGAGCCACAATCCATTCACCTGTGCAGTGCAGACAACAGCAACCTGTCGGGGTTGAGATGAGGATTCAAGGAGGTACTGAAGGACAAGTGTCGACATACACGGCAGCTGACTTAGGGATATTTTATATCCCTATGTAGTTTCTCCACCTGCTGTCTTTATAAACCAGCCCACTCCATGGAGTAGGTGGTTGTGTACGAGGGGAAGTAGAATAGTTTGAAGAAGCTGGAGTTTATGTAGAAGTTAGGCTGGGAAATGTAAATTGTAGGGAGAATGATTTGAATTTGAGACTCCTTTCTTCTCCAGAAGTCAAATTTCCTGGAATCTCAAATCTGAAGAAAGCCCCAAACACTTCTTCACAGCTAATATCTACGGCCAAGCCATCTGCCCCATAAAGAGGCCATTAGGCTGTAGTCCATGTGTTCTAGTCCATGCTTCTAGCAGCTCTCTCCATTCTGCTCGAACCACCATTCACCTTCACCAAGAAAACTCCTACTCACGGCTCAGGTCTCAATATGAACGTCACTTCCGCGGGGAAGCTGTAAGATCACCTCTCCTGCACTGCCCCTTCCACGAAGGTAATTACATACGTAGGTGCATACCTCGCTGCTGAATGTCTGGTTCCCTCAGGAAGCCACGAGCTTCCCAAAGGCGGGCACCATGCCCGCCATGAGCGTCCGGCCTGGGCCAGTGCTGGGTTTCATGGACATGCTCAGTGAACGTTCATCTTGTTCCGTGAAGGAAGCTTGGCCAACTGCATTATGCAGCCTTCGCTGACCGGAAGGACAAGTTAAGGTGGAGGAAGGGAATCCTTTTAACACAAAAAGCCAACATGTATAACGCGGGTGGAGAAGAGAAAAAAGAGGACTCAGAATCATACTCAGAGCTAGCAAAGAACTGACTCTGGTCCCTTAGTGAAGAGGAAACACTCATCTCAGGGCCATGCAGCCTGAAATTGCTGCAACTGAGCCCAGTCTAGAAAAAGAAAGTCAAATGGCCATGTGTGTGTGTGTGTGTGTGTGTGTGTGTGTGTGTGTGTGTGTACACATTCAAGCGACTATAATAAATTGGAATCTGCACCTGAACCTCAATCTCAGGACTTCATGTCCCTACCAAACACTCTAGAAACAGCAATCCCTTTCAGGAAGCATCCCATTAAAAATAAGTTAGTTTTATTTTGTATGTTTTAGTATGTGAGTTATACGCAGTTGGTAGTAAACTTCTTTTCACCTGAGCTGCTCTTTCACCAACTGATGGTGTCAGATGAATCACGTGTCATAAGTTTGTACACAAACTTCTATTTAAGACACAAACTTCCTTGTCCATTCACTTTCAAAAAGGGCTGATTCCAGTGGAGTGAAATAGACACTGTTGTACACTGTATTCGTTTGGCAACAGGTATCGAAAGCCTTAAAAATGCTCACACCTTTGATCCTAGCTATTTCGATTCTAAGATTCAATGGTAAAGGGATGAACAGAGTTATAATAACATTTATGAGTAAAAATATTCATTAGAATTATTACTTATCATTGTGAGAAACTGAAATAACCCAAAAGTTAAAAATAAAAGTCGCAGGTAAATGCTTACGTAAAATCATCGTGCGTCACAACCGTGCGTATGATAAATAAATAATAATACAGCAACATACAGCTGAGAAGCTTAATCTAAGATCAGGTAATTCTTATGTGCTTAGTAAACAAAACAGAGCCAATCAAGCATCCAAATTGGATACGCAGATATATGCATAGACACAAATAGCCACATGCTTTTACACAGAATAAAATCTACCCAAGGAAAGTAGCTGTTTATCTTTGGGTTGTAAGATAGTCAGTGGATTATTTTGTTATCTTCTACTTTCTGGATTTTCCACAAAGTGGAATATATATTGTTTCACAATTGGGAAAAATAATAAAATTTGTTAATAGAAAATGAATGTTATGCTCCTATAGTGGAACAGAAAGTGTACACCTTCATTGTTTTAGCCAGAAACATACAACATAAAAAATAAAGGAGGGGGTAGCCATGCTGAAAAGTGTTGCCTGTACAGGGCTGACTGATCCCAGAGAACCTCAGCATCCTTACTCACCCACCAAAAGATACAGTAACAGTCCTCCGATTTGAGGGTGTCCCTCCAATTTGAGGGTGTCTCTTGGGCCTTGCCCTCTCCATGCTGCCTTTTAGCATCAGATCATCTTTCTTGAAGGAACTAATTCTCTTAAGGATGTTGCAATATAAAGAAACATGGCTGGGAGGCCAGGAGCCTTGCTCTGTTTCTATCACTCACTCTGCTACCTTGGACAAACCATTCCTTCTTTATGGGCCTCAAGGTGCCCATTAATGAAATGAAAAGTTTAGACCAGGTCATCACAGAGGGCTCTTCCACTAAGACTCACTATGATTCTTTGCCTTTCTTGTCTCGGGAATGCAGTTCCCCTTCTTTAACATGAGAGAGTATTTAAGTGATATTTGAAATCTTTCAGCTCAGATTGTAGATGAGTACAAAAAGAGAAATAGTTTCCTATTCACTCATTCATCACAACAATACCTCTCAACTCAGGCTTCTAGGTTGACCACCTCTGTCCTAGCTCTTGGCTGGGGCCCCAAGCTTGGGTCCCAGCTCTGGCCAGGAGGAAAGTGGAGGTGGTCACTGCTCCGAGTGGCTGATGTGAATCTCAGTGGAATGTTTTGTTTCACTCTACCTATAGGAAACTAATTCACTCCCGTTGCATCCTAATACACAAAGGCAGAAAGCCACAACCAAGACCACACCCCCTAATTCTACAGGTGTGACCAACAAAAAAGATTATAAAACGCTCAAATGCCGTGACTGACCTTGTTGGGCATGCCCCGTCCTCTCTCTCCCCCAGGAGACGTTAGCCCCACCCCTTAGAAATGCAAGCTCTCTCTAGGATTTCACATGCCAGTAAATGTCCTGGCCCCGACGTTCGTCTCCTGGCCACCTCCCCACTCCTTCCCCTCATTCCTCAAGTTTCAGCCTTGAATGCCGATCCCTCTGCAGCGCCTTCTCCAACCCCATGTCTGAGCCCCACCATACTCTGTCCTTCCCTCTTAAAAGTATGGGTTGCATTTTTATTTGTCCACTTTCGTATTTGACTCTAAGTTGTGATGGTAAGGGACCACATCTGCAAAAGTTATCCATGAGCCCGCATGCCTTGCTCAGGGCCCAGCACATAATATTAGCTCAACTACTGACTAGAAGAATACAAAGTATGATACGATACAACAATACAATGCAATACAAACAATATAATACAATACGGCCTGTAGGCAAGTACTGACACAACCAGGACAATGGGTTGTCCAACATGGAGGGGTGATCTTGGCCCAGGAAACCGGGAAGGCCTGTAGGAGGGGGCTGCTGGGGGAGCGGGGGCACTGCCTACCTTTTTGGTCTTCACCGTGGATGCACAGCAGTCCCCACCGTCGTAGTTGCAGAAGGCTCTGTTGTTGATGGCATCACAGTAATTGTCTCCCATGAAGGGCTAGATAGGGGAATAGAGGCAGGAAGGAGAGGTGACTTGTTAGCATCCTGGAGTGAGTGCAGGATGGCCTCTGTAATCAGTTAGCTATCTCTCATCTTCTCATAAACCTCTCCCTGGCTTCACATCCCAGCACCCCCTTGAACAAGTTCACACTTCTACCATTTATAAAGAGTCTTCTCTAGCCAAGTTTTTCCCAGCTAAAGCATGGTTACCCTGGGAGACACACTCCTGTATGCTGGGGAATGCAAAGCCACGGGGGGGTAGACCACTTTCGTTTTCTTAAAGTTGGGGGCTCATTTAACTTGAAGAAATGATAAGAAAATTTGAGCCCCTTCCCCCACTTTTCCTGGTAGCAGGTAATTAAAAACATAGTGTCTAATAAAATATATGCAACTATATTAGGAAGCTGAGTGCAAACTGCCCAGGAATTGTAAAGATCAAAGGTAAGAACTCAGGAATTTGGCACCGTGGTCTGTGTATGATTATGGGTTCCTTCTCCTCTAACACAGGAGTACAGATGTACTTGATATCACATGCTTTACAACTTTGTTTTCTTCTTTTATTTTCTGAACACCATGTGAGGTAGGCATTGCTATTCTCACTTTACAGAGGAAGACCCTGAGGCTCAGAGCAAAAAAAGGACTCAGCCAAGATCGCACCGGCAGAGGCAGACTTGGCTCCACAGTGTTTTATCATTCTAGGCTCTCTCTAGCACGTATTGGTTCATTTATTTTTCCCTGTGTTCCTCCAACTCTGTGATGCTCTGAAGATAAGGAGAAGATGATGGGGTTAAGTCATTACTGATCAGAACCCAGCACCATCTTAGGGGAACATCAGGAGTCCTTGCAATGCCCTAGCACCTGTATCTTCCCACCCGAGCACTTGGCACACTGTCTTCTGTGGTCTGTTGATGTTCCTGTAGCTGGTGCGAGACAGTGAGCTGTTCAAAGGCTAGGACAACCTCCAATTCACGTTGTCTCCCAATCACCTAGTTTGACACTGGGCACAACTTTGGCTCTTAAAGATGTTTTTGAAATGGAATGCAATTGTACTGGCATAGTGTAAAGGCAGTTGTCAAAATCTGGGTTCTAGTTTTCCAAATCTCAGCCAACTGCATGGTTACTTGGTGGTGCTGGCTAGGCAGCTTATGTTCTCTGGGTCTCAGGGCTCTCAGTAGTGAAATAAAGAGGCAGGGTTAGTCCACTGATTTCTCAAAAAAGCGAACATACCCTTTCTCCCATCAAAGGCAATATTGTGTAACACTGTAATATATAGAAAGCAGATGAAGCAAAATCCCTCTGATTAAAGTTCGGGTTGGGGTGTCTAATGCTCAGTGACTCATTGAAGGGAAAGAAGACATCATCTTCAGTTCGCTGAGGCCACTGCATGCCAGCACAACCCCTGTGATCCAGTGGTCTCTTTCCCATCCTGACTTCCCCATCCCATCCCAAGCTCACAAGGAGTCCAAGTTCATCCTATATGGCATCCCTGGCTTTTGCATCTCTGCTCCAAGTTTATGGAGTCTCTGTGCCCCCAAATCATGATGGCAGATTCCATTTCATCACTGCCCTATAGTGTCTAAAAAAAAGATCTTAGCAAGACAGCCAAGAACAGGCAAGAGATTGCTCAGGTGTGTGTATGTGTGTGTGTGTGTGTGGGGGGATACATGTTGTACATGGTTGTGAGCACAATTGTGACTGCCGTAATAAACACATGATTACATTTATATTAAAGCAGAGAGGCACAAACAACAAACAAAGGATAAGCCCTTTGCTTTTCTCTGTGTCTTCAGAGATTGGCCCGTGGGCTTTGTTCTTTATGTTTTTGCTCCTATCATATATAAGCAGACTAATGAAGGAAGACCAACGTCCTTTCCCTAGAATGAAAGGAACTGGCTTGCTAAAGGAGTAGCTCAGGAAGAAGAGAGAAGAAAATAAAATAAATAAATGAACTTTTAAAAAAATTTGGCCCCTGAAAAAATGTTGTCTCATCATGAGCTACTCTATGTGCCTTTTCCTGCAGCCACATCCATCCATCCATTCGTCCATCTATCCATCCATTCATCCATCTATCCATCCATCTACCCATCTGTCTATCCATCCATCTGCTATTCAACCCTATTCACTGAATGCCTACTACACATGTGCTAAAGAAAAATACATACTAGTGAGTCAATATAGATAGAGCCCCTAATCCTCTAGACCTTACACTTTAGTGAGGAGAGAGACTTTAATCAAATAAGCACACATCTAATTGGCCAATTACAACTCTAATAAGAGCTATGGAAGAAAGGTGCATGATGCTGTTTGAGGAAAGAGCAGAAGGATTTGACCTAATCAAGGAGCTTTGTGAAGGTGTCCTCAAGGAAAGGACGTTTCATCTGAGATCATGAGATGAGTCGGCGTTAATTAGATAGGGGTGGAGACGGAAGACTTTCTAGAGAAAGGGAATAGTGTGGGGAAAGATCTGTTATTTAGAGATTTCTCTTGTCTTCGGTATTTCTCGTGCTGCTACTTTTACTACTAATGTGTTCATGTAAGCAATTCATCCTTCAAGATCTAGCTCACACATTGCCCCTCTAAAATGCCTTCTCTAATACCCCCAAATGTTCAGTGCTTCTACAGCTTCCTGAACTTGTGTGGTTATAGCATATTTTAGAATGCTCTCTATGGTGTCTATTTCCTTTCCTGTACCGTGAGTTCCTTACGGAGAGGAATACGTGTCATCCACTTTTATATCCTAGATTTCCTAGCAAAATGCCTGGCAATTTGAGCAAAACTTTATCAAATAGATATTCCTTAAATGTTTATTTAGTAAAATGGTGGCTGCATACATGGATTCATGGATGGATGGAGGTAGGGGGCACGAAGCTACCACAGATGACACAGAGAGAGCATAATTACTGTTTTCACTTGACTGAGATGATTTTATTGTCAGACCCTAGAGCAGTGTCAGGGGCAGAACAGGCACTCAGTGAAGCTTTGATGTATGAGTGAGTGAATGACCACTTTGGATATAGCTTGGGGTAGAGGGATGGCGGCTCAGGGGTCCCAAAACTCTTTCTCCATCTTGGCTACCTCTACACATTCCAGCTTAATGGCTCCTCCCTGGACCCAGCATTTGTATAATCTTCTAAGCATACTTTTCAGCCCCAGACAAGAGACAAACTATTAGTTCTAAGCTAAGGAAGACAAGGGGGCACCTGCAAGAGCAAAGGTGATAAGCATCATTGGCAGGGCTCAGAGCCTGACAGGTGAGGGTCTCTTAGGCCCCAGTGCTGAGTCAAAGGAGGGATCGAATTCTGCTGTCACACTGGTTGCCCAGATCGCCGACTCAGCAGAATGAGTGCCCAGGTAACCCAAGCTTCCTTTTCTTGAAATGCTGGGCTGATCCAGAGAAATGGGAGGAAGCAACAGCCACAATGGCCTTGGCCTTGGCCTTGCCATTCCTGGCTGACTCTTGGGAGAATGGGGGCCCTTCAAGGCTCCAGTGCTAAGTGCCTGGAGGAGATGCTGCAGGAGGTCCCTAACCAATACACAGAAAAACACTTGTGACCCAGGGACTGTCTGTGACACTTATAGGTCAGAGGATGGTTCATGGGCAGGAAGTAGCCTAGTGGAGAAGGAAAGGCACCCGCCTGGAAGTCAGGAGACCTGGGTTCATGCTTTGGCTGTGTGTCTATTATACTGTGCAACCTTGGGCCAGTCCGTCCCCTCTCTGGCCATCAACTTTCAGTTTATACAACAAATGAATAGGGTTAGATCACACTAAGCACCCTTCCAGTTTTGGCATTCCATCAAATTTTAGACCAATCACTGTCTAGCTCCCAGTTTCCCCATCTTTAAAATAAAAGGCCAGGTTAGATCATCTACAAGAGCATTTCTGGTTCTGACATTCTAAGAATTTCATCAAATACAACATTTTCTGGAGCACAATCTATTTCTTTTCACCTGCATTTTCCTGAGTGGGCCCTGGGGGGACCACCGAGATTTGGACATCCACCTAGGTGGGATTTGGGGCTGAGAACCACAGGAGCAAAGAGGTGCACAGAAATGTCTGTTAGCTGCATGAGCAGCGCCCCCTTGAGGACATAGAAGACATCCCAAGTACCCTGCCCCTGTCCCTCCCGACGCTTGTCACTGATAACAGAAACAGATCTCCGTAATGCCAAGTTCCAGGGCATGGCTAAACTGCGATGCCACAGAGCTGAAGGGTCAGAGGACATATTCACTTTCAGCTCAATGCTTGGGTCTCAGGCGTCCATATTACTTTTGGGGTTGAAGAGCGAGTGAATGACAAACATATAGCAGAAGGAAGTGATACGTAAGACACATCAGTAAAGGAATTGGGGGAAAAAAAACCTGCCTTGTGTGGTTCATTAAAGGTTAAATCGGATAATCTTGGTAATATGCCTGGCATATTATAGAAGCCAAATCAATATGGCGTCTCTCCACCCTCCCTTGCAGATGCAATATGCCCAACACGGGCTTCGGAGGCAGAAAAAACTGGCTTGGAATCCCGACTCTTGTTACCCAGTAAACATATTTTTGAGTATGTTTATTGATATCTCTATGTCTCAATCCACCATCTGTTCAATGAGATTGCTGATTCCTGTCCAAGAAGTCAGTGAAAGGAATATTTACAACACTTAGTAGGTACAGTAAGTGGTAGCCGTGATTAATATGGCAATCACAATAAAAACCAATGACTGTAGAATCCTTTTTAGGAACTCACCTCACAGCCTTTGACACAGTGAATCAGAGCAGGATGAGGATACCACTTGAGACCTGCTGTGCACACAACTCTCTGCAGAAAGAAGGAGAGAGAGGTCAGAAGGGCTTGGGGCAGGGAAGGCACCGTCTCTCCATTGGCATCACGTTCAACCACCCCACCTCTTCTTGGATCTTCCAAGTCCTGACCTCACCTTGGCATTTACATGGATAAATTTGCCCAGGTACTTGCAATAACAGGAGCCATAAGATTACAATAACATTTGTGTTTGCTGTAGATGCCATGATTCTGTATTTCCTTGGCAGAAATAAGGGCCGAAGAGAAGCAGAACTAGGGGATGGAGACAGAATCAGAAAGGCCCTTCACAAAAATCCGTAGCTGATGTTTGACTCATGGATGGAGTTGGGGATAAGGTGGGAGGAAGGGAGAAGGGGAGGGGGAGGGAGGGAGAGAGAGAGAGAGAGAGAGAGAGAGAGAGAGAGAGAGAGAGAGAGAGAGAGAGAGAGTGTGTGTGTGTCAGTGCAGCAGGAAGATGGGAGAATGGCGTGGAGCAGGGAGAACAATGAGGACCACTTTCTCAGGATCATTACGGGAACATATTAAAAAGGCACATCCTTTGGTGCTGCTGTGGATTTAATGAATCCAAATCTGTGAGATCGGGGCCTCTACATTTTAAAAACAAGCCGCCCAGGTGATTCTGATACACACTGCAGTTTGAGAGCAGTGGGCTGGAGGATGAATGAACTAACCTTTGGTTCGGAACCCTTGGGCACGCAGAGAACCCTTCCTGCCTCCGCCTGCCGCTGTGCCGTATGGGCCTGATCACAATCACTTGAGGCTGCTCACGCTTTCCTGTCCTATCCCTGTGACTTTGTTCTTGCTGCTCTCCTTCACTGAAATGGTCTTCCCCATCTTGTCACCTGGAGAATCTTTAGTTATCTTTTAAATTTATGCTCAAGACTTGCTTCCTCTGTGGTGCCAGGCATATCTTATGGGTGTGCATATGCATGCTTATTTAAAGCCTCCTTTAATAATAATAAGTATTGTTCTGATAACGACAACTAAAATGTATTCAGTGCATTGGTGGTGCTCATTATTGGGTTGTCAGAAAAGTCATGACGCATTTTTGCAACGAAAAACACAGAAAAAAATACGTCATGACTTTTCCGACCACCAAATACTTTATGTATTATCTTATTTTTCACCACCATGACGTGAGGTGGGCATTCATCCCTGGTCACAAGGACAACAAATTCGCCAAGCTCCACAGCTGTGCAGTAGTGAAACCAGGATTTGAAACCAAGCAGTTGTTTTGGAAATGACTGAAGGCAGCTCATAACATAACATCCAACATGATAATTTTTAAAGTAGGTGGAAAAAAGAAAGATAAAACTAGGAAGCTAAAATAGCATCAGGAATGGGGCTAACATAGCCACCCTAGAGAAGCTCCATTCTACCATAGATACTTTGATTTTCATGTCAGATTACAATAATTTCTTTAAAAATTTTAAAAACTAAAATAAAAATGACCTGGAGGCAAATGCTTAGATTTGCAGTGAGAAGTAACTGTGTCAGAGACCAGCCACGGAAGTCTGTACGATCAGTCAGGGCTTACTCTCCTGGCTGAGTGCCAGTTGATTTATTTTAATTAAGAAGTGAACAGTCACATGGGCCAGAATGTGGAAAATCCATGTGACCAGCCATTCTGCCCCTGAAGACAGACCTATATGGGACCCAAAATGGAATTAGGTGTCTTGGTGAGCTTAGAACAAAGGGAATCACGTGACTCCAAGATCTGGCTAAGACTGGGCTGGGTGACTTTCTTCTCTGCCCGTCTCTGGTTCAGCCTTGGATCTTCCATGCCCAGAATGGTGCCAGGCACACGGAGGAGGCCCAGTAAATATTTATGTTGTACATGAATGAATGGATCCATCTCAAAATAGAGAGGATTTTATCAATGGGCAATATTTTCTTGTCTTCCTTTCCCCTGGAGTCTCAGACAGTTACAATGCCTAGCACGGTGTCTAGTGGAGAGGGCCAGCTGAGTGTAGCCCGGATTACATTGAAAAGCTTGGACAAACCACCTGCCTTAAAGATCTGCCAACCAGTCCTGTAATGTGAAATCTACTATCTAGCCCTCCTACTGCCTCTGTTGACACTGTCTACCTTCTTCCAAGACACGTAGCACAATGTGATATATGGGAAAGACTTGGGGCACTGCGGTACAACAGGTGTGGTTGCAATTCTGACTTGAAATTGCTTTGTAAATTTGCATGCTGGGGCTTGCTTCTCCCATCTGTGAAATGGGTACTGAAAATGTCACAGGTTTGTCATGGTAATGCACTGAGATATGGGTTGTGGAAATAGTTAACCGGGACCAACCCCTGGTAGATGTCTCTGTCTCCCTCCAGGACCAGGCATGGAGCACGGCCAACACGTGCATGTTGACCAAATGAAGGAACGTGAGTACTTCCACGGTTCCTCCCAGCTCAGCCACTTTTTTGTCCCCTGCTTCCCAGCCGTGGGGCCAAAAGTGGAGAGAATCACCTGCTTTCATTTTCTGGAATACTTTAACTAGACGTTCATCTCTGGGTCTGAGAGTCTGTTTCCAGCCCAAATTCAGGGATGTTGGAGGGGCACTTGGTAACAGTTCAAATAGTAGAAAACAGCAGGGTTAGGATCCGCTAGAGATTTGATGCCCATCCCTCCCCCTGTTTATTTGAGAGCTAATTTAATCCGTCTGTAGGAGTGTCTTGGTGTGGTTGTAAATGTTTCTGTCAGTTGAGGTTTACCTGACGTGAGTTCAGAAAAGGAACTTTTATACTATCGGCATGAGTCTATTTATCTTTCCAAGGCGTTTGGATTTTCCACTATTCCTCAGGGCTGCACGCCCCACCTGTCTCACTACAGGGCCCCTCTGTATGTGAGGAGAAGTGAGAAAAGGGACAAGCAGCAGGACTGAAGGAAAGGCTAGGCTGTTTACACCAAAAGCTGTGTGATCCCAGATGGGGCCCCTCCAATGTCAGGGTTGTTCCTCTTGAAGCCAGTGAGACCTCTAGCCCAGTCACAGCCCTTTCAGACCAGGTTTTGTAAGACGGCTTTTGTTCCCTGCCGAGGTGCACAGGGAGAATACACTGTCTTTTCTTCTTGGCTACAATGACCATCAGCATCAACACCACCACCACCATCATTACTGTTGACAACACCAGCACTATCACCATCACCCCACCACCACCAGCAATAACACCACCAGCACCACCAGCTCCACCACCCTGACCTAAAACACCAGCACTACCACCACCATCATCTTCATCATCACCAACCCCATCATCACCAACCCCATCATCATTGTCCATATCCTTTTCAACACAAAATCCTCTGTTAAGCAAATATTATGGTCCAAGCCCTGTGCTCGAAACTTTCATCTATTTAATTCTTACCATAACTGTGAGATAAGTACTATTTTTGACTCTGGGTTGAGGAGACTGAAGCACAGAGCAGTTAAACAGCCTGCCCCAAATCACACACATAGGCCATGATGGTCAGGAATTAAACTGACGTCTGTCTGATCTCTAGGTCTGTACTTTGAACGCTACACTCTCCTTCAAATTCCCCTAGCCCCTGGAGCTGTAAGTATAAAATAGCTTACTCTTTTGACGGATGGAAAAGGCCAAGCTTCAGAAAGGTGGACAGGCTTTGAGACAAATATAGGAGGGGGCAGAGTGTCTAAAAGATAAATCCCAGAAAAGATGAGCCCCAGCCAGAGCTAGACATGTGAGAAAGCACCTGAAGAGAACCCCCTCATCCTGAGGCTCAGGCCTGACACCCCTCCTGATATTTTCTAAGATGAGCAGTCTTTTCTCCGTGATTTTTTTCCGTGATTTATAGGACCCTTTGTGCCTTTTGTTATCAATTACTGAGGTTTTGGCTTTCTCCTGGGTACATTTCTTGAAAATCTAGGCATTTTCCACCCTACATCCCTTGTGTTTGAAGAATACCTGCCATTTCAGTGGCAGTGCACAATCAATGTTTTTGAATGAGTGAGTGAGCAAATGAGCACATGCATGAATGTATGGGTGTGTCCATGAGTGAAGGAGAAATCGTTGGGTTCTGGACACATCTCTCCATCTGTGGGTTTTCCCCACCAGGGCGCACAATATCTCTTTCTATACTTCAAATATTCACTCTAAACCATTCCACCTCTGACTGTTAGACACTTGGCAGGATTTTTCCTTTGTAAGTGTTGTATATGTTTATGATTTATAATGTAAGGTGGTTGCTTTGCAGGATGGATGCAGGAAAATTAGCTCTGGGTTCAAATTCTGTTTCAATCACATTTGTTATGTGAATTGGGCAGTGACAACCTCTCAGAACCTCAGATTCTTCCTCTAAAATGGTGATAATATTTATCTCATTGAAGTGCGCTGGAGTCAAAATGAGGTGGCAGAGATGGAATTACCTAACAAACAGTGCCTACATATTATAGATAATAAATGGTGCTTTCCCTTTTCTTTCCTTCATTCTATCCCTCCTTCCCTCTCTCCTTTTCTCACTTCTTTTTCTCTCTTTCCTCCTTCCATCCCTTTTCTAGAAGCCATTATAAAATCCAAGGTCCCACTTACCTAGAGGGATTATAAGCCTCTGAGGCTGGGAGCTGCATTTCCTATTGGGAAACTCCCCCAGCACCTCTGAGCAAGTGGCAGTGCAGGGCAGATTGAAGAACTCCTGAGGACCTGGCGGGACAGAGGCTGCACCTTGAATTCTAGGTGCCCAGGGCCAGGAGAGCCTGTCTCATTCAAAGGTTGCAAACTAGCAGCTTCCAGGCTACACAACCCACAGAAATGTTTGGTTTGGCACACCAAGTCCTCAACAGAAGTCAAACTCATTTGCCAATATTAAAAAGAGAGAGAGAGAGAGACTTCATATTTCAAAGACTCCGTATTTTTGTACTCAAGAGAAAATGGAAAAGCTGGCCACCCTATGCCCACCTTACCACACTCGGCTAGAACCGGCCCCTTTGGAAACAGCACGTGCTGTCCGCAGTTGACCACAGCCCCCACCCATCCCTGCCATCTCTCCCGGTTTGAGCCCGAGGGGCGTTTCAATGCATCCTTGAGTTTGTATTGTGTCATTTATTAGATTGGAGGATGATTCCTCTGTACCCTTATCACCTTCGGAGGAGCTTGTGTGTGCGTGGGGTGGGTGGGGAGCCTCAAAGGGGGAATACTTAAAAAAAATAAAGGGACAGAGTGTTTTTTTCTTAATGAAAGGAAAACTAAAATGTTTTAGTATACCCAACACTAATGTGACCTTATATGTCCATTATACATTAATTTAAAAAAACAAAATAAGCAAAACCAGGAAAGGTTACCTTGGTGGTGGGGGCATTGCCTGGCACGTGTTGGGGAGGACTCGCTGGGGAGTTGGAAATATCGCCACTGCAACTTGGGCACTGGTTTCATGAGTGGACACAACACAAACATGTATCAAGCCTTATGCTTAAGATTAACATGTTGTATTTCAATAAAAATGAAGGAACCCCAACTGTGTTTGCAAAGTCTTATTTGTTCAGTTGGATAGAGTGTACATGAGTGTTGGTTATATTTTCTTTAAGTTTTTCCAAAATATTTATAGTAAATACTACTACTACTACTACTACTACTACTACTACTACTACTACTACTACTACTATTACTGCTCCTATGAGTAATATACCTAGGTATTTAATATTAAAAAAAATGATGTATTTGGTCTGCTTCACTACTCAGTCCTGGTTCCTGTAGGTATCTAAGTTTGTGACTCTTGATCTAGGCCTGTCTCTCATTTCACAGATGGGGACACTACAGCCTTAAAAAGTGATGAGATTTGCCCAACGACATACAGCAAGAAGGTACCTGGGCTTGAACTAGAACCTTGGTCACCATTCTCAGCAACCACAAATATTGAGTGAGCGTCTACTGTGTGCTAGATGCTGAGGGATGTACCATGGTGAATAAGATGACCACAGGCCTGCCTTCACAAAGGTCACTGCTCTGGCCCACCAGTCATAACACCCGGACTCAGTGGAGATAGTCCACTCATCTCGGTAGTCATCATTCTCTCCATACGTGCCAGGAGGGGTACGGTGCCTAAAATGGAGCCCATCCTGGGTGAGTGCCAGTGGGGGGCTGCAGGCGGCTCGCATGGCCTGCAGACGCGGTAGTGCCTCTCTCTCCCCAACTTTTGTGTGCAGTGACGCAGCTTGGAGAACTCGCCATCTGCCAAGGTGGGACTATTTACACCACAGTAACTGGCAAACGCTACACATCAGAGTTCGCTTTTTGTGGAGAGCGAATTGTTAACCATTTACCAGCTCGTCCCTGGTAAGCGATCAGTACATGTTTTGCCTTTATTATTATTATTATTATTATTATTATTATTATTATTATTATTGTACATTCAACAGAGGCTGGAGAAAACTGCAGCATTAGACTGACCTGGGTCCCCCTTCAATTCCTATTAGTCAAGTGGCTTCCATCTCTGAGATGGAGTCTCTGAGATTCCATTTCCTATACTGGACAAACAAAGAGAGGAACACCCACCTCATGTGTGTGTGTGTGTGTGTGTGTGTGTGTGTGTGTGTGTGTGTGT